GAGGCATCTTTTAAATCAGGAATCTTTCCACAAAGCCCTCCAAAAACAGTGCTTGATTCTCCTGGTTCCACAATGCCTCCATATTGCAGGAAACTGATGTGGGCGTGACACCAGGTGCTATACAACTGTAACCTCCTTGAGTGCCAAACACAGCCAGCCATTCTGTCACACAGAGGCCCCATCAGAGAGAACTACAGGGGGCCACTCCCCAGGTCAGTGCTCCTCATTGGCCCTGAATTACAAGAAAACACAGATAATACTACAAACCTAGAAAAGAGAACTTGAGTCTGAAGCATCAATGAACTAACAGTAATCAGGCCCCAAGGAAAGGTCATCTGTCTTGTGGCAAGTGAAACAAAACCACAGGCAGCCCGAAGGGGATCTTGTCCCTTACACTCATTTTTTTCAACCCCAAGTTTAGGAGATGTGATTTATTAAAGTTTTTAAATTTTAACCTCATAGATGAATTTCTCAGCCAATGTTGATGAAGTCTCTCATCCATCACTATGCTTTAATATAGCATGGCTCTTGCAAAGCACTTATGACACTAACTTTGTTCAGAAATTAGTTTAAAGAATGAAGGGGAAAGCCTTGGACACAATACAGTCTCTCTCTCTCTCTCTCTCTCTCTCTCTCTCTCTCTCTCTCTCTCTCTCTCTCTCTCTCTCTCTCAGGCCCACTGACTATATAAATTATGGAAGGGCAGAAGCCTATAACACAATTATGGAAATATCTCTTGACAGGGCTAGGGAGATGGGTAAAGTGCCTGCTATGCTGGTGTGAAGACCTGTGTTTAGATCGCCCAACACCCATATAAAAACCTGGGCATGGTACTCTATGTCTGTAACCGCATCACTGAGTGGAATAAAGACAGGGGCATCCCAAGAGCTTGATGACCAGGCAGTGTAATTCATCAGTGAGTTCCAAGTTCAGTAAGAGAGAAGATAGAAATCCATAAAGGAAGACATCTGACATGAACCTCTGACCTATAAACATATATACATATACTGGTGGGGGAGGTAAGGAGTAGAGAGAGAGAGAGAGAGAGAAGAGAGAGAGAGAGAGAGAGAGAGAGAGAGAGAGAGAGAATCACCAGCCACCTTTTCTTTATTTTATTCTTGATTATTCTGGTTACCTCTGTGCTTATTTGTCACACTTTTTGTACTCTGTTGTGATTTCTATTTGCATCTGTTTCTTCTAAACTCTAAATGACTTTGCCACTGCATTCCCAGAACCTACCATAGTATCTGGCACACAATAAGTGCTTATTGAATTATACCCATCAGAAGACTTTCACCCCAGATCTGTAGCCTTAAATAGTTCCACCTCTTGATGTTTCTCTTTCCCTGGTCATCAGTTAGGACCAGCCACCTCATAGCCTACCTAAATTCTATGACCATTTTAGGGCCAAAGAAGATGAGCTGAAGTAGATACAGACTTTGGAGCTTTGGTAGGTGAGAAGGATGGTTTAAGAATAACTGCTAACCAATGCCAGGACCAGTACACACATAGGCACATTTCACTTCCCCCTTGACCTCCAGGGCTGGCATCAGCAGCATTAGTCAATTCAGAATATGCTGCTTCATCTGTCATAAAATCTACTCAAAAAGTTCAAGTGACTTTCATTTGATGGATGAGGAAAAGAGAGCATCATTTTTCTCCTTTAAAAAGTCTACAGGGAGTCATTCTCTAGAATGCCCAGCTTGACGAACTGCTGGTTGTGTGATTGTCATTTTGCCATTGGATATCCACATAATACTTGCTCCCTAAAATGCCAGCAGATGGTCCATGAATTCATAATAAGACATAATGGCATGGTCAAAATGGATCAGAAAGCACTGGGTAAAACAAACGTTAACATGTTGCTTTCCTACAGAACTTCTCAGAGTCTATACAAGCGGAATATGCATGCAAATATTGTGAGGCAGTCTTGCAGTGTACTTACTTATACTATAGTTCTAATCAGAGGAACCATTAAATCAGCATGCTCTGTGTGATACTCACCATGGTAGAGATTTCATATGCACCTGCTCATTTAATCCTTCCATCAACCCGGAGTGTATTCACTCTCCAACATGCCATCTCACATTCCATGCCACTTTACCAATGATCCATGTGCTTCTATGTGAAATGTACATTCTTCCCTATCTTCAAGCAATGAAATATGCCTTTAAGAATAGCAATAGTGGGATGTGAAGGCGATTTAGCTCTGGCATCTGTCACCCCATTGATTGCCAGAGTTGATTCACCTGGACTGGATGACTACGCAGGGGTCCCCTTCCTCCATCACTGCTCAATGTGCATCTCTCCAGAAGCTGTGTGCAAGATCAAAGAGAATGGCCTTCCCGGAATAGAGGAGGTCCAGTCTTCTGTCAAGGGTATACAAGCAGCTGTGCTCCTCTGTTAGAACCTCCAAACAAGCTCTCTAGAATAGCAATAATGGCTGACATCTGTGGCGAACTGGAATATTATAGACCCAGAACTAAAATCTTCTTGTGCTAACTTGAGTTCCCTTAATGGCTATTTATTACCCACCTCTGTAACTGACTTAAAATCCTCCCAACTGTCAAACACAACTTTTGTAATGTATTAACTTAGAAGACAGTGATAGTCCACCAACAAAAACTAAGAATATCATTAAATAACATCTGAGATGTATATCAGAGATCGCCCTGCTCTGGTGTAACCTTTAAGAAAAAAATGGTTAAGTTCTGGTCAATAGAACATGAGTAGAAAGTGATGTACTAACTTCCAGGTCCTATCTTTGGAAGGGGCCACCTCAGTTTTTCCCTTTCTCCCTTCACACAAGCATGGTGATCATGCACCATGCTGGACCATGACAGTAGTCATGTACCATGTGAAGAAAGACAATATGATTAGAAATAGAAGAGCAACATATGCAGAGGCACCCTGGGTTCCTGAGAAACCATAAAAGTAGAGCAACTACACCGGCTTATGGGAGAGAGAGAGAGAGGAAGGGAGGGAGGGAGGGAGGGAGGGAGGGAGGGAGGGAGGGAGGGAGGGAGGGAGGGAGGGAGGGAGATTGATTCTCATTTACTACACCTTTCATTTGGGGCATCCCTTAAAGCAGATGAAACTCTATCCCAATAAACACGATTTCAAACAGATTTCCATTTAGCCTTTGACTCCATAGGCCCACAAATATGAAGAGTACAAAAGGTCCCTTCTGTCTCCATTCAACTCTTCGAGTCCTACTGCAGGTCAGACCCAGGTGAGGTAAACCCTGGCTTTCAATCAGTAAAGCTAAGAACAGTGTGAAAAGAATTGCCTGCAGAATTATATGCCAAAGACTTCTATTATTACCATATCACTATGTCAAAATTGAAAGGCATGTAAGATTTCTCCAGAGAGGCCATCCACAATGCATTGCAGAACTGTGTAGGTGTTTTGTGAAATGTGTTTTATTCAAGCTAGGATATACAACACTAACATTATTGAAAGAAATTGAGGGTCTGGTCTTCTTTTTTTAATGTGTTCATTATTCACCCTATAGTCCTTTAACGAAAAGTAAAGTCATATACATATGCAATTTAATTTAAGATTTTATTTTACCTGCTATTCATCTTGGGTGTCCAATGAAGAAGAAATATTCCCTTATTATTCTTATATTAGTTTCTGACAGTTCAATTTCTCTGACTGCTATGCCTCAGACAACCTCTACTGAAAAAGCATATAGGTAATTGCTTTGATCAAAATTTCATGCCAAATCTTTTAGGTCCCGTGTAGATTACAGCCTCTGAACAGAATCCAGAGAGTGGAACGTGCAGAGGCAAGACTGGAAAAAGCATCACCATCAAAACCGTGACTGTACATTAGGAACCTCCTGGAGCATTCAAATATGCTTATGTCCAAGTCCCATCAGGAGTCTCTAGAAGTCCAATTAAATTGATGTGGGATTCTGGACATTAAACCAGTACAGAGCTAGTGCTGGGCACCACTGACTCAAGAGATTCATAGGGTAGGGTACAAGGATCCCTGAGGTAGTGACTGTCATAGCTTTATTTTGTTTTGTTACATTTTACAGATTTATGGAGACATTCACATATCATACAATTCACATATTTAAACTGTTTGAGTAAATATACTTTAATATATCAACAGATCTGTATAGCTGTGATCACAACCAACTATAGAATACAATAATATTATTTGGTATCTGGAAGGGACTGGCCCCAGGATGCCTATGGAGACCAAACTCCAAAGATGCTCAAGTTTCTTATAAAACATAGTATTTTTATATAAAGTTATAGTCTTCTTCTCTACTGTAAGTCATCTTTCAGTTCTATAACTACTATGATGTAAATGCTATGGAAATAGTTGTTAAACTATGCTCTTTATGGACTAACAAGAGAAAAAGAGTATCATGTTCAGTGCAGATGCCTTTTAAAATATTTTCAAGAAGGATTGTAGATACAGATAAGCAACCCTTTCATTACCCTGAAAAAAAAAAGTACCCTTCAGGTACAACCATGTTATCAATAGTCAACACCTAGGCAACCACTAATCCACTTGTCTGCACAGTTGTTCATTCTTGACAATTTCTATCAATTGAATCACTTTTTCATTTAACATAATGCTTTTAAGGTTCCTACATATTGTAACATGCATTCACATTCTTTTTATGGGTATATAATATTCAACTGTATTATATATACTAGAGTTTGTTTAGCTATTCATGAGCTAGTAGACAGAGGGGTCCTGTCTACATTTTTACTGTTATCAATATGAGTAGCCCTATTATGAACATTCACACAAGTTTTTTGACAGATTTGTTTTTGTTGGGTACCTATCTAAAACTAGAGTTCTTAGATCACATGATAACTCTATATTTAACTGTTTGAGAAGCTGTCAGAATGCTTTCCAAAGGGACTATACTATTTTGATGTTTGCACCAGCAGGGTGAGTGGGTTCAGTATTTCCTATGTCTTGCCAGGATTCATGTGTTTCTTTTCTGTGACAGTCATTTTGCTGGGCATTACCTTCAAAGTTCCTGTGAAATCCTGAGCAAGAGGTCTCACTTCTCCAACAGACTTCAGATTCTCACCTGTAAATGGGGTAATAAGAGCAATGTCACAATGTCCCTACTGAAGTTACATGAAACAGGATATGGAAAATATACCATTTAAAACAACCATCTTGAACATAGAGAAGATAGCTCATGAGAGACCAGCAGTTGTAATTAGGTGAGTGTTGCGGGATTCCTGCCTGGGTCCTGTCACCACTTTAGCCCCCAAATAACACGCAAGACATTATATTAATTATGAAGCTATTGGCCATTTGCATTCTTCACATAAGTTACCTTCAGAGATAGAACCCTGGGCTTCATAGAGTATAGTCAGTCCCAAGGAGGAGGATTCCCTTGGCTTATTGAAGAGAGAGATCTGACAGAAAACAATACAAACATAACTATCTGCCTCACCCCTTTATACTAGTCATGACTCCTTGTAGCAAGGTGTTTTCAATTGTAGGTACACCTCCCTAAAGAGGCATAAGAGGAGGACACATATGGCCTACAAGTTTGTCCAGTTATCCATTAAACCATTAAGCCAGAACTTCTCTGATTTTATTGTGTACATACATTATCTGGAAAAGTGTTACCATGCAAATTCTGAGTCAGCAGGACTGGGCTGTGCTCACAAATCTGATGTTTTAACAAGCTCCCTAGTGGTGACTATAAAATTCAAAAGCCCACATCTAAAGAGCAAGTTATTAAGTCTGTGTGTGTGTATGTGTATACATGTGTCCCATTAATACACCTGCCTCTGCCTCCACAGTTCTGATATTACAGTACACACCTTGATTATTAAATTTTTTTAAATGTGTGTCTTGAAGATCAAAGTCATAGCTTTATCAGCTGAGCCATCTCTCCAGTCCCAACCTTATTGTTTGGGATATCATCATCATCATCATCATTGTTATTATTATTAGAATTATTGTTGGTTGTTCAGTTGATCTCTTAGGTGTGTTTTGTTTTGGTATTTTTTTAAATGCTACTTGAGAAAAGCAACAGCTGTGTAAACTCTGGAAAGTAAAAGAGGTGAAGACAGATGTAGAGATAGGTAGGAAGTCCTTAGCCAAGGCACAGGCCTTTAACTGTAAGATTTACACTTTTAAATGAGTGGAGATGACCAGTGTCAACACCTTCGCTGAGCTGTGGTTTGGAGCTGTGTGGGATGCTGCTTCTGGATTATTCTCTTATAATTCAATGTGAATCTGCAATTATCACAAATCTTTACTTAAGACATTTCTACTATACCCCAGTTTCCTGGTTTTCTTTTCCACCAATGGAACCAAGTAAACTGGGGCCTGTATCCAGGCCTGCCTTCCAGTGCCTGGGGACTGCCAGGGGACTGCTACAGAGTCTCCCCTCCCAGCAGGACCCTACATACCCCAGATTCCTGGTCTTCTCTTCCACCAAAAAGACCAGAGGGCCAGGCATACCATGCCCTGTATCAGGGCCTGCCTTCTATTTCCTAGGGACTGCCAGAGACTCCCCTCCTGGTGGGAGCTTATGCACCCCAAATTCCTGGTTTTCTTTTTCACCTACAGGACCAGGTAAACCTGGCCCTGTATCCTGGCCTGCCTTCCAGTGCCTGGGACTGCCTCCTGACTGCCACTGAGTCTCCCCTCCAGGTGGTGGCTTAAATACCCCAGATTCCAGTTTTCTTCTCTACCCATGGAACCAGGACTAGGACCAGGAAAAGGAGAACTACCAGAACACTGGACTTGCTTGATCCCACTGAAAGGGAACTCTGATCCCCTAACCACCAGGCCAGTTAGAGGCTCTTTCTGCACCCACTAGAAGAAGGGATGGGAAGGAGACAATACAAAAACACACTCAGCAACAGAAAAACAAATATGACACAACCAGATTCTAGAAACTCCATACCAGCAAGACTCCAACATTCCAATGCAAATGAAGCCAAAGAGAATGACCTTAAAAACAACTTCATGAAAATGATAGAAGCCCGAAAAGAGGATATAGGAAAATCCCTCAAAGAAATGGAAGAAAAAACATACCAAAAAAATGCAAAAATGGAAGAAAAAGCAAACCAAAAAATGCAAGAAATTGAAGAAAAAACAAACCAAAAAATGCAACAAATGGATGAAAAGACAAACCAAAAATTGCAAGAAACAATTCAAGAAGTGCAAGGGTTGAAAACTGAAATAGAGACAATAAAAAAACACAATCTGAAGGAAGGCTGGAAATAGAAAAGCTGGGCAAACAGTCAGGTACTACAGATACAAGCAGAACCAACAGATTACAAGAGATGGAAGAGAGATTCTCAGGTGTTGAAGATACACAAGGAGAAATTGATTCATTGGCCAAAGAAAATCTCAAGTCCAACAAATCCCTAACACAAAATATCCAGGAAATATGGACACAATGAAAAGACCAAAACTAGGAATAATAGGTATAGAAGAAGGTGAAGAAAACCACCTCAAAGGGGCAGAAAATATATTCAACAAAATCATAGAAGAAAACTTTCCCAGCCTAAAGAAAGACATGCCAATGAAGGCACAAGAAGCTTACAGAACACCAAATATAGTGGACTACAATAAAAAGTCCCCTTACCACATAATAAACAAGACCCCAAATACAGAATAAAGAAAGAATATTAAGAGCAGCTAAGGAAAAAGGTCAAGTAACATATAAAGGCAAACCTATCAGAATTACATCTGACTTCTCCATGGAAACTCTGAAAGCCAGAAGGTTCTGGATAGATATTCTACCAACACTAAGAGACCATGGATGCCAGCCCAGACTACTATACCCAAAAAAACCTTTCAATCAGTATAGATGGAGAAAACAAGATATTCCATGGCAAAACTAGATTCAAACAATACATATCCACTAACCCATCCACAGAAAGTTCTGGAAGGAAAAATCCAACTCAAGGAAGTTAAATACAACCAGAAAAACATAGTCATTAGATAATCCCACCTTACCAACAGCCAAAAGAAAAAAGGGGTGGAAATCCACAGATAATTCCACAACCGACAACCATTCCAAATCAAAGAAGAATGAGCAATCAATGGTCATTAATATCCCTCAATATTAATGGTCTTAACTTGCCCATAAAAAGACACAGGCTAACAGAACAGACTCAAAGACAGAACCCATCTTTCTGCTGCATACAAGAAACACACCTCAGCCTCAAAGACAAATATTACCTCAGAGTTAAAGGTTGGGAAAAGATTTTCCAATCAAATGGACCCAAGAAACAAGCAGTGGTAGCAATCCTAATATCTAACATATTAGACTTTAAAATAAAATCAATTAAAAGAGATGAAGAAGGTCATTACATACTCATCACATGAGAAATCCACCAAGATAAAGTTTCAATTCTGAACATCTATGCTCCAAATAAAAAGGCATCTACATTTGTAAAAGAAACATTACTAAAACTGAAATCACATATAAAGCTCCACACACTTATAGTGGGAGACTTCAACACCCCACTCTCACTACTAGACAGAAATACCAGACAGAAACTTAACAAAGAAGCAAAGGGGCTATTAGAAGTTATGACTCAATCGGGATTAACAGACATCTATAAAACATTTCATTCAAATAAAAAAGAATATACCTTCTTCTCAGCACCACATGGAACCTTCTCAAAGATCGACCACATACTTGGCAACATTTCAAACCTCAACAGGTACAAGAAAATTGGAATAACTCCATGCATCTTATCAGACCACCATGTGTTAAAATTAGAATTCAACAATAACACAAATTGCAGAAACCCTACAAAGTAATGGAAATTGAATAATGCACAATTGCACCATTCCTGGGTCAAAGAAGAAATAAAAAAAGAAATTAAAGACTTCCTAGAATTCAATGAGAATGAAGACACAACATACACAAACCTCTGGGACACTTTGAAAGCAGTGCTGCAAGGGAAGTTTATAGCACTAAGTGCCCACATGAAGAAACTGAAGGATAGTTACACTAGAGAATTAACAGCATAGCTGAAAGCTCTAGAACACAAAGAAGCAAACTCACCCAGGAGGAGTAGACACCAGGAAATAATCAAACTGATGGCTGAAATCAATAAAGTATAAACTAGGAAAAAATACAAAGAATCAATGCATTGAAGAGTTGGTTATTTAAGAAAATCAACAAGATAGACAAAACTTTGTCCAAACTTACCAAACAGCAGAGTGTGAACATGCAAGTTAACAAAATCAGAAAAGGGGGATATACACTGAGGAAATCCAGAGAATCATCAGGTCATACTTTGAAAACCTGTACTCCACAAAATTCAAAACTTTAACGGAAGTGGACAATTTTCTGGATAGCTATCACTTGCCAAAACTAAATCGAACAGATAAGCAATTTAAATAGACCTATAACCCCAATAGAAATAGAAGCAGTCATCAAAAGTCTCCCAAACAAAAAAAGCCCAGGGCCAGATGGCCTCAGTGCAGAATTCTACCAGAAATTCAAAGAACAGGTTATACCAATTCTTCTCAAAGTATTCCATGCAATAGAAGCAGAAGGGTCTTTGCCAAACTCTTTCTATGAGGCATCAATAACCTTGATACCCAAGCCACACAAAGACACAACTAAGAAAGAGAACTTCAGACCAATATCCCTCATGAACATTGATGCAAAAATACTCAATAAAATACTGGCAAATTGGATCCAAGAACACATCAGAAAACTCATCCACCATGATCAAGTAGGCTTCATCCCAAGGATGCAGGGATGGTTCAACATATGAAAATCCATCAGTGTAATTCACCATATAAACAAGCTGAGAAACAAAAGTCACATGATCATCTCCCTAGATGCAGAAAAAGCCTTTGACAAAATCCAACACCCCTTCATGATAAAAGTCTTGGAGAGATCCAGGATAACAGGAACATACCTAACATAATAAAAGCTATATACAGCAAACCAACAGCCAACACCAAACTAAATGGACAGAAACTCAACATGATTCTACTAAAATTAGGAACAAGACAAGGCTATCCACTCTCTCCATTCCTTTTTAATATTGTACTTGAAGTTCTACCTAGAGCAATAAGACAACA